ATGTATTACTCGAGTACTCGAGTCTGGACTCGTTACTCACACACCACTAGCACAGACTCTCCCTAGTCAGAAATCAGGTTTTGAAATGTTGCACTCCACCCACTTCTTGTGCCCATGCCATAAATCACTGTTGAAGTAGATCTAGGCCTCAGCATATCTGGTTCTAACTTTTGAGGTAGACTTTAGCTGCAGATAAATCTAGAATCTAGATCTAGATCTAGATCTAGTCTAGATCTAGATCTAGATCTAGATCTTAATCATATATAAATGACAATAAAAATAAGAATTAATTTAGAATTGGGGCCTACCTCCACTACTGCCAGAACCGTTCCCACTGTTGTCTAGATCTAGAAAATCTAGATCTAGATTATAGATCTAGAGAGGCCTTAGCCCCAGTGTAACAACAGTAGGCGCAGGAATTGAAAGTGAAAAATAATGCTGTGACACTCAGAAATATTGTGTTGATTGCTATTGTCAATTCCAATCACCACAGAGGTCCGTCGTTGAGAGCACAATGTCCATACCATACGACAAACGACGTCCACATCACAGGCACTAACTCTAACATTGTCTGTGGTGATTGTCAATTATCTATCTACCCGAGGTTACATTACGACTGACACTGTCCAGAACTGCACAAAAAAGAAATATTTCGAAATCACAGATTTCTTGGAAATGAACCGAGATACGGATCTAGCCTAGAGCTAGAGAGACAAATCAACAGCCGAATCGATGAACGTCTGCCGTCGTCTGCTCAAAACTGAAAGTAAGAAACTGGAAGCAAGCTGGTGCTGATGTGTAGTCTATAAATAGTTTTAGATCTTCTTACCCTGAGGTACTTAGAATCTAGACTCAATCAAACTTACATGATACAAAAAAAAGCTCCTGTTTTCTATTGGTATTGCTTTGGAACTCTAACAAAATATTGGAGCAAATATGAAAGAGTTTTAATACTTACTAAGTATTTTTTGGTTTGGTTTTTGGCTCCTGTTTTTCTAAACGTCGAAGCAGACGACAGACGAAAACGAAGTCAAATTTCCTGGAAAATTGTTAAAAAGTGGGCCGGAAACCGTACGGTGGTGCCATATTGTACAATTAAGCTTAGGCCTACAAATGTATTATGTTTTATTACGACACACTTTCTATAGGCCTATATAATATGGTCCTGTGCCCGAACCTGAGCACTTTTTTGCTATGTGTGATGCAGTATTGTATTGTACTTGTGGTAGAAAACAAATTTTTATATAT